GTGCTTGCCACATCCAGGGATACACCCATCACGAGGTTACATCCCAACACGGGCCACGTGCACCTGGTAGGCCCGTACCTTACAACCAATGGTACCGCGAGCCACCCGGGGTGGCGGCAGCTAGCAATTTCCACGTCCTGGAATGCAAGACGCGGCGCTTGATATTGGGTTCATTTATTTTATACGCATAGGCGTTCCCCGGTCCTTCTACTGTAGCTCTCTCAATGGGAGAAAAAGGCAGTGCTAAAAAAGATATGTCGTCGGCGATACAACGTTCCCACCTTGCTGGGTCGCCGTCCCCGACGTCGCCACCGCTTGCGCACTACGGCTACGGACCAGATTCCCAGGGCCACAATGAAGATGGCTCTTCCTTCACCTTTCTGCTTGATATCGTCTACACAAAACACTCGGTGGTCTAATTGCGTCCGGCAGTCATGCTACTCGTACTCGTCTCGTCGCTACTTACGGAAACAGCCGTCAACGGCACACTGATCGGAAGCACTCTTGCTGCCCTAGGGTGCGGGGGATGGCGGATACAATCGGCACCGAAAGACCCGGAACTGCGTTGAACAAACGTGACGACTTCGATCGCATCCTCCCCAATACTGCCACTCCTGCAGCTATCCTTCGACGTCTCGCCCTTCTCCTCAGTCTGCACCAGTTCCGTCGTTTCCGCCTTCCCCTTCTTCGGATTCATCCTCTTGATCCTCGCGATCATGGCTGATGGCGCTGCCTCTGAAGCTATGGCTGAAACTACGCCCATTTGCGCCGCGGAGATACGGCGACTCCATGGTACGCCGGAGGTATCGACAGCTGAATTCCTCTTCGTTCCAGAACCCCGGTCAAAGCTAGTAGCCGCAGAGAACATGATCGCACCACCGTGGCCGGTCAAAATCTGAGCGGACGAGATCAAAAAACATACGTCGTGTACACATTTAACTGTTACGACACACTCGACATTAATGCGGAACCCAGAGGAGGGCAGCGGCGATGGGCAAGGTGGTTTAAAGTACGCTCTGCAGTACACAATGAGGTGTTGCGATTGACCACATGCATACATGAGCTATCGAAACCTTTAGGCGGACGCACATACGTCAAACGTGTCGACATCAAGGACTCTGACCACAACCTCGTGCTTACGACTGTCCGCCCCCCCCCCCGTGTCGCACCCAACCGACGAGTGTGGGGGAACAGCGGAAGCAGCCGGATCCGTATCCACCTCGACCGGTTGAGGAAGGACAAACACCTACGGGTCGCCTTCAAAAACAGGGCCTCCAGCCGCCCTCCGCCCACGGCGATCAGGCGGCCAACGGGAGAGACCGCCGCCGAGCTGACGGCTACGGTGATGTCGGCCGCTGATGTGACCGCGCCGCTGGCGAGG